AGGGTGAGAGAATTCACCAGAGCCAGAGGGGGGAACAGAACAGGCAGACTGACGAAGTACACTGCTGAGAGGAGCAGCAGGCAAGACAGGAGAGGAATGTCGTGCCATGTGGGACCCTCGCTGGCAGGCTGGGATCAACCAGCGCTGCAGAGGCTGCAGGCGGCTTCGCAGCTGGTGCTCAACCACTGCGCCCCCAGGGGAGGCCCCTTTGTAGGGTTTTAACATCTGATTGTTGATTGTTGAGAAGTTGTTGCTCCCTGTCAAGTCTGGCTGTGCTTCCTTGCAGCTTCTGCCTGCTGGATTTTGCTTTGCATACAGACTCGTTGCAGATGGCATGGGGCCTCACTTTCAGTGATGAGCTCCTTCAGGTCTTGAAGATAGACTTGACCTCCCCCACCCGAGACTTTCTCCACCATTGCCTGAGGAGACATTCAGGCCTGTGTGGGTGACCTGACAAGTGCACCAGTTACCCTGATGTAGAGTAGGGGAGGCCAGTGCAGCAGAGTTGATGTCACAGCTGGGGCCACTTGCCTGGGGGCTGACCAGACTGGTGTCCTCACTCCCATAGGGGTCCCCCAGCCTCCCATGGAGAGGTGATGTACATTAGACATCCTGCTCTCTGTAGCCACTCTCAAGTCTACTCCCCACGCCCTCAGACCCTTCATCTCAAAGTGTTCCATTGTCTCCCTATTCTTTCTACACCCAGACTGTCTGGTCCAAACCCCATTTTCATTTGGGGACTGCAAAACCAGAGAAGGCCATTGATGTTTTCAAAGCCAACAGTTGAGGGAGTAGAGCCTAACTCCCACTCCTCAGAGAGCCAGGGCAGGGTGGTAGAGGGGGCCAGGGGTCATGCTGGGGTGCTTGCTGGGCGCTGCTTAGAGAGATGGGGAGAGGCCAGAGAGCAGTCTGCCACCCTACCCCTGCTCCCCAAGACCATGGGGGAAGAGGTTCTGTAAACACAGATTTTATGAGGCTAGGCATTGAGGGCTGGCAAACCAGGGCTTAGGGGAGAAGCCTGGGCATCCACTTGTCAGTCTGGAAGTTTCTGCCTGCTCCCCATCTGTTCACTGAGCAGCCAGAACTTTATTTTTTTGTTCTGGTGACTCTGTTACAGGGCAGGGAGAGATACACCCCAGACCCCCCAAAACCTGCCTTCTCTAAATGGGTTTTGCCATCCATTGCATCAACACAAAACATGAGACTTTAATGGGAAGGAACTTTAATACAATTAGGGAACAATACAGAAAGGCAAAGAATCTAGTTTCTAAATCAAGCACCCAAAGTTACCCGTCCCCTCGTGGTTAAAAGTCCATCGAAGCAGGATTGGCCCAGAACAAGGCCTTGAAGCCTGCCACAGTTCTAAAGCACCTTCCAGTGGGGACCCACTGAAAAGGGTCAGAAACAATCAGACAAGCCCAGAAGGAAAAGAGCAAAATCAAAATTAAGATAAAAGCTGCCATTGTCACCTCCCCAAGGGTCTCACCCACATCTTTGTCACCCAGTCCACGACCAAAAGACAAGTGCAGTTTCTTCACATCTCTAGGCTCCATGTGCCTCCTCCAGGTCTCCTTCTGGCTCCATCCTGCTTCCTTCCTTCCTCAGTCTCCTCTGCAGCTGCTTCTCTCTCTGCTCAGCTCCACCCTCCATTTGGGTAGGTCAGGGAATCTCGAACCTCCCCCTTTCCTGGGGACCACCCTGTCACAACTCCACTGCCCCAAGTATGCTTAGGAAGGAGGTTTCCTTCCCTGGGCATTGGGTGAAGGTTGGATTTGGGGGAAGGTTAGGCTGGATTTGGGGCAGTGAAGAAGTCTGGGGGATAAGCTGGAATGGAGAGTTTGGGTTAACATAGTGGGTAGGAAAGGCAGGCTCGGGGGGTGCAGAGACTGAGGACCTGCTGTCCACTTCCTTAGGCAGCTCTGAAATTGAGCCCCAAGTTCTCTTCCTGTTCTTCCTTCCTCCCTGAGTCTGCTGTTGACATTGGGCTGGGTCCCTCCCCAGAATATCTGTGACAGAGATCACCACAAGGCTGCCAGCCAGGGGCTGAGATGGGACAAAGGGCGATGAGGCCTAGGGACGAAGGGCACCCACATAACCTTCCCTGTGGGGTGGAGGACCCGAGTGAAGGATAGAGCTGATCAGTGCCTGCGCCTACCCCCAGCTGGAACTGGAAGCACAGCTTCTGGAACCTGGCTCTCTGGAATGTCAGACCCGGGGCCCTGCTGCCCGGCCTAGCCACCAGGGGCCACTGCTGGGCTCCGGGCACCTCTACCACCTCCTGGGCCCTTGGCTCGCTGCACCTCTGCCCTGCTTCCTCGTAGCCCCTCCGGTCACCCCATCTTCTCCTTCTCTGCCTTTTGAATTTGAGACTATCTAAAGCTTCAGAAAAGTTGCACATACAGTGCAAAAATGTTTTCCCCTGAACTCTTTGAGAGTAAAGCCCCACTCTCCACCCCAAATATTTTTCACCCCAAATATGTTCTCCCATTTCATCCAACGCACGATCAACATGGGAAACTGACGCCGACACATGACTGGCTCCCCATTCCCGGACCCCAGTTGGTCGTCATATCCCTTTAGCCTCCTGTCAGGACGTCTTGGTCTTTCCTTGACCTTCCTGACTGGTCTCTTGTGAAGACGACGCGCCATTTATCCGCAGACTGCGCTTCAATGTGGGTTGGCCTGAAGTATGTCGTGATTAGAGTCCACTGCGCCTCTCTGGCTGGCAGGAATCCGCAGGAACGGTGTTCTGTTCTCAGCGCATCCCCTCCGCAGCCCAGCATTTCCATTTATCGCATTACTGGTGGTGCTGATGGGAGCCCTTGATTAAAGCAGAGTCTGCCAGGAGAAGTTACTTTTCCCCCTTTGTCATTTAAAAATACGATATGGAGGCGCTTTGAGACTGGTAAATATTCTGTTCCTTCTCGAACTTTCAATTTATTCCCTTATTTCACATGTCAGTGTGGGCTCATTAAGCCGGTACTATCATGATGTATTTTGAAGTACGGATCTTCCAAGATTTAGCCTTTGGGGGCCTTTTTAAGCTGGCGCCTGTGTCCTTTTGTCTGTCTGTCCCTCTTTGATTCTCCGGTTCCCTTTTTTAGTCTCTGTGAGTTTCTATCTAATCTCTCATTCTCTGTGTGTGCTTGTTGGTCTCGGTCTTTCTTTGTCTCTGTTTTTATCTTGCTTCTCTTTTTTTCCTCTGTCTGACTCTCAGTTGCTTTTTTCTGTATCTCTCCCCCCTCCTTGCTTCTTTGTCCCTCTGACTTTCTCTCATTTTGTCTGTTTTCTTCTCTGTGGCTCAGTCTTTTTTTCCCAGGACTCATCATGGCATGTCTTTGGTTAAGAGTCTCAGGCACACTGGGTTTGTGGGACACTGCCCTCCCTCCCTCCTCTATACACACAAGTTGCCCTTGCGCTACCCCCTATTCCAGAGCTGGGAGGCCCCCTGAAGCAGGGGCCAAGGTGGGGAACTCGGAAGGGCACAACCGTCTCCCCAGAACGGCATGGTCTGTGCTGTGTCTCTGTGGCCACGTGTGTGCGGAGAGGTGTCAGAAGACTCTGTGCTTGGAGGGGCGGGGGGAACAGCAGCGGCCTTCACCTGGGCCTTGCTGGCTCCTACTACTGCTGGAGCCTGCAAGTAAATCAGGTTAAAGCCCAGGGTGGGGACCTTGGCGAGGAATGGTGCCTGCGGGGAGGGGATAACTTCCTTGGGGAGTCCACTGAACCAGGAACTCGCAGCCTGTACACCTGGCCTACAGGTGGGAGGGTGGTCCTAAGCATTGTGGGTGCAGAACTTTGTGGCTTGGAGTGTGTCCCCCACGTGGGAAGGCTGTCAGAATATGACAGAGCCCAAGGTTGGGTGTGGTACCCAAACTTGAGCTATCAGGAGGGGGAAACTGAGGCACGAGGTACTAGTTGCTTGGTGACTCATGGTGGGGCTCATGGCAGATCAGATACCAGCAAGGCTTGGACTACCAGCCTATCTCTCATTTTGTGGATGCTGTGCTTGCAAAAAAACAATACAATCATGCATCTGTTAAGGATGGAATATGTTCTGAGAACTGCCTCCTTAGACAGCTTGGCTATATGAACATTTAAAGAGTAATTACACAAACCTACACGGTGTAGGTACTACACACCTAGGCTAGATGGGATAGCATAGTGGGTCACCATCGAGCATATAGTCCATCATTGACCGAAGTGTCATTAAGCAACCCTTGACTATATTTAACATATCAGTATTTTTCATAATGCAAAGGATAGCATATAAAAATAAAGATGGGGGGAATCTTTTGGGGTGAAGCAGGGGGTGCTAGTGAGGGTGAGAGAATTGAGGGACATGACATCCTGGGGATATGGGTAAAAACAGCAAGAACTATCAATAGCAGATAGATAAGAGAATTTGCTGCATTCAAATGATGGAATACTATGCAGTGATTAAAAGGAAGAAGCTACAGATCCATGCCAGCTTGTGAATAAATCTCACAAATTAGTGAGGCATGAAAGAGGCCAGACACAGAGCATGTCTGATTTGTCTTGAGGGTAGTGTATCCTCTATGATTCCATTTATATAAAGTGAAGAAATCTGACACAAGAAATCTTTGGTGACAGAAGTAACAGTGATATTTACCTCGGGGGATATTGCCTGGGACAGCCACTAGGAAGTTCTTCTGGAGAACTGTGCTGTGTGCCTTTCTAATAAGGTAAATAGAAAAAAAATGATTAAGCAACTAAGGGAAGGACTGTGATCTCCAGATGCTGGGGTCTCCAGTTGTCAGGGCTCCGTGTGCTCACCCCACCTAAGTCTAGGATTCTGGGTGGCAGCCACGGCTTTCTCTCCCTGGGCACCTTCTTCCAGAAGTGGGTGCAGGTCCTTCACATTGCAAGGGGCTCTCCCCTCTCCTTTCCCTGGCCATTACCTCCATCCCCCGCAGACCTCAACTCCTGATCCCCCAGCCTTCTGCCCAGGACTGATTACTGTGCCTCCCCTCCCATAGCCAGAAGACCTGGAGGCCCCCAAGACTCACCATTTCAAGGTGAAGACCTTCAAGAAGGTGAAGCCCTGTGGTATCTGCCGGCAGGTCATCACGCGGGAGGGCTGCACCTGCAAAGGTGAGACGGTGGTGGGGCCCTGGGGAGTGGGGTGTGTCTGCACAGTACTGAGATGGCCCAAGGCCTGGGTAAGCTGGGGCTTAGCTTTACGAACGTCCTTGGAGTCCTGACCTGGTGCCTGGTTCTCATCTGGGAGGGGATGCTGAACACACCGAATAGCAAGCATATGGGGTGTAGGGGTAGCACGTGGTCGGTGAGGGAAATGGCAGGTGGCTTGTATGTGGATGGTGTGACAAGGTTATGTGACTGGATGCAGATGGCATGTGAACGGCACATGGAATGTGTATGGATAATTCGTGGGGACATGTGGCTGGTGTGTGGCTGGCATGTGGAGGGCATGTGGATGGTGTGCAGATGTGTGGGTTGCGTGTAGATGGCATGTGAGTGGGTGTGACTGGCATGTGGAGGTGGTGTGCCTGGCACGTGGAAGTTATGTGAGTGGCGTGTGTCTGGCCCTGGCACTACTGCCAAGGCGCCAAGCCACAGGCCTCCCCTTGTGGCTGCTTAGAACTGAGGTTAAGAGGACTCAGGGCAGATGCAGGCTGCTGGCTGTGGGGCTTTTACTATCTGTTCTCACTTGGTCTCCAACAACCTGGGCTTTGGCTATCACCATTAGGGTGACTGACATCATCATCCACCCAACTGCTCTGCCAGGGGCTTCCCTCTCCTCACCTCCATCTGCCATTGATCACCGGGGTGCCCCCCCACAGATTAAATTGCTGAACCCTTTTGTAGTCCACTCAGCCTCTTGATATCTTCCACCTGGGTGGACTTCAGTCCCAGTCACCTCTCATTTCCTGCCCTGCCCTCTCCTACCACCCTCTGCACCAGCTTCCAGCCAGCCTCCGTGGAGAGCTGGTTGTGTTGGTTCCCGGGGAAAAGCTCAGCAGCCCTCACTACCCTCTAAACAATGACAGACCCCTTCCTGTGGCTGCAGAGCCTGGCGGGATCCATCTCTTGCCAGCTCTACCTCATCTCCCCCCAGCACCCCAAGTTCATACTCAGACCAGCTGCACCTCACAGACTTCCCAACTATGCCAAGTATGTCAGATATGCCACATGGGCTGGGCTTTTGCTTGCCCTGGAGCCTTTGCTCACGTGGTTCCACCTGGACTCTCCCCTTTTCAGTTTCAGCTGGGCGTTGCAGGTTAGAGAAGGATGGTGCGTGCCCGCGTGTGCGTGTGCATGTGTGTGTGTGTGTTGTTCCTGGTAAGGCCTTTTATGGGCAAAGGGTGGAGGAGTGTGGTCCTTAACTGAAGGCTGGGACACCCAGCCAGCTTTTAGGGAGCCAGTAGCAGCTTTCGCCATTCCCAAACCAGCCACACGGTGTCGCGCTCCTCCCAAGAATACTGGCTGGAACCGGTGGTGCTTTAGGGCTGGAAAGTCAGGAGGAGTTGCCAAGGGGGGCTTTTGCATTTTGTGTGAATCATCCCACCCTCACCCCACTAGCTGTGCTCCGTTGGTCCTGGATCTCACCCCAGTTCCTTTCACGTGTGGCTTCCCTTCACCCCGGTGACACCCTGGGCCCCTCTAAGTGTGGGCAGCAAGGGGATGGGGGTGGAAGGAAGTCCGGGACACGTGCTGTGTGACCATGGGCACATCTCTGGCCGAATAGTCGGTGATGCCCTAAATTCACCGGTCAGCATGGCTTGAGGGCCGGGGCTCAGGAGGGGATTTGACCCATGTGAATGGAAGTTTCCCAAGGTCAGCTGAGATGACCCTGGCTTCTCCCAGTTTGTTTCAGAACCTGGCCCTGCCAGTAGGAACCTGTGTGGGGGGCAGGTGGCCAGTGGGTGGCCAGGCTGGTTTGGTGGCTCTAGCTGAGTTGGTGAGAAGAGGGAAGACCTGGGTCACCCTCTGGAGGCACCACCAGGTGTCAGGACTGGGCCACGGAAGGCCTAAGGGCTAGGCCCAACAGGGAGGACACAGAAGACTCCTGGCTCTACAGGAAGCGTGGGCATCCTCTGTGAGAGGGTTAGGGTCACTAACCCTGCAGGCAGTGTTTGGGTCATGGGCTCATTGGTGGAAGATGCAGGAGTGGACCGACTCACTGTGCTTTGGAGCCAGGAAGTTGTGGTGACATGAGGTGGACAGACTGCCCTACCCACCCACCCATCAGCCATCTCTCCCTCCCTCTCTCCCTCCCTCCATCCACCCATCCTCCCTCTGCCCATTCACCCATACATCTAACCTCCACCCACTCATCCAGCATCCACTCACCCATCACCACCAGGTATGGCTGTACAGGTTGTTCCTTGCTGAGGGCCAGCTGTGGACTTCATTCTCCAAGCTCAACCCAAAAGGTTTGCTCTCCGCTTCTCCTCCAGTCTTCAGTCTTGGGCCACAACATGACCCTCTGGATTCACGCTGGAGATGATAGGTGGGGTGGGTGTAGGAAATGTCAAGGCTCTGAATTCACAGTCTCCACAGGCCTCAAGGCCACATCTGCTGGAGGCAGGAGCAGTGAGGATGCTTCCTAGATCGATCTTGATGGACGGGCACTTGTCCCTGTTGTCTCCCTGGGGCTGCTCTGCCCTATGGCTTGGATGGCCCGTCCGTCCACCCCTACTCTCCTGCATCCCACTGTTTAATATAACCAGGTAGAAGGGGATGGAGTGGGGAAGGGAGTCAAGGAACATGGGTCTAGTCCTGGTTTCAGGAAATTCAAAGACAAACAAAAGTGATGGGGGGTAACAGACAGCCAGGCAAGAGGCTGCCGGCCAGTCTTCTGCTCTGCCGAGCCTGCCTCCTCCTGTACACCGTGGGGTAACAATGCACCCTCTTCTGAATCTCTCCGAGGTTATGGTGAGGATCACTGAGGTTCTGTGTATGGCTGTGACTAAGTGTGTCAGTGTCAGGGACTAAGCTCCCTGTGAGGGGGACAGAGATGGATGAGACATGGGTGAAGAAGCCAGGGGGACCTGGGATCTTTCTAGTCCTGCCGTTCACAGGCTGTATGACCTCAGATAAGGCACTTCACTGTTCAGGCCTCTGTTTCCTCATCAATAGGTAAAGGGTTGGATGGAGAATGCTCACTGAGGCCCAGACAGTGGGAAGACCCAGAAAATTCCCTTGTTGGAGTCTGTAAAGGCTGATAGCCATCTCAGTGAAGGCTACTGCTTCACCTCCTTCATGCACCCATGCAGCCATCTGACAATCAAGGGCAGAACCCTTCTCTGGTGGAGGTGTGCCAGGTACCAGTGCCAAGACCTGGCCTCTGACCCGGGAAGGCAGATATGCCATCACCTAGCACATGGCAACAAAGCTGACGCAGAGGCGTGTGCGAAAGGCTGTCTCTGACTCAGCAGAAATGTTCCTTTCAGGCTGTAGCAGGGAAGGCATATGCAGGCTGGGTCTTGAGGGATATGTAGGAGTTCCTCAGTTTAAACAGCAGGTTTTCTTGTCCAAGGACCCTAGCATCCTGTAGGATGAAACCCACAGGGAGATAGAGGCTGCTCTTTGGCCTGGATCGGGAGCCAGGCTTAGACCACATCCCTCCAAAGCACCTCGATTGGACTGGGAGGTAGGTCATCTGCAGATTCCCTAGAGTGGGGTGCAGCCAGGTACCACAATTCAGCTCACATTGAGACAAGCCCATCCAGAAGCCTTTGCTGCTTAGATTTTGGGAAAACTTGTTTCAGGAGAGCTCTTCCTCCTCTGTTGTTTCACTGGGAACCCCAGCTTCTGCCGTGTCTGTAGACCTCCTTGGGGTCTTTAGAAGCAGCCTCTTAGAGTGTGAAGAGCTGAGTTTCTAGTCCTGACTTGCCACTGACTGACACTGTAGTCTTGGGTAAGACACTTCTCTTGACCTGCTTTCTCCTCTCAATGAGGGGTTGGACTAGATCAGAGGTTCTAAACTGTTCCAAGGGAGCTGTACATTACTTTTTGAAGTGCTTTAGGGCTCTAAGAGGGCAACTAAGGGGAGGCATAAGGGACTGGGGCTCTGGAACACTTCTAGTCAAAACAGCTCTAGTTTTAGGGGTTAAAAATATCAGAAAGCTGGAGGGGGTGGGGTTTGTATTTGGGTCAGTCATCCTGGGTTCAAATCCTAGGTCTCCCTCTTTCCTAGTGAGACCATAGGCAGATTACTTCCCTCTCTGTGCCTCAGTCACCTCATCTTTAAGATGGGATTCCCAGCTCACCCCCTTCCTGGGGTTTCTGCAGAGATTAAAGAAAATCCATAACTGCTCAGAGCTTGGCTTAGTGAGCACTCAAGAAATGTTCACCAGTGTCACTGAAACTCCACACAAGAGCCCATCAGATGAGGACTTTGCAAAAATCAAAGTTTGAAAACCATGAGAGCATCTAGGTTTCTTCTTGTTCAGAAGGTTTCAGAGCCACTTTGTAACTGTTCTCCTCTCCCTCCCCACCAGCCATTCTTGAGATGCCTCATCTTAGTCAGGGTTCTCCAGAGAAATAGAACTAACAGGATGGGGGTGAACGAACAGGGTGGGGGTGAACGAACAGGGTCGGGGGATGGATGGAAGAGTAGATGGATAGTTTATTTTAAGGAACTGGCTGCTGTGATTGTGGAGGCTTAGCAAGTTCAAAATCTACAGGTTAAGCCACAAAATGAAGAACGAGGGAAGAATTACAGGTCAAGTTCAACACTGATTTGTTGGCAGATTTCCTTCTTGCTTGGGGAAGTCAGTCTGTGTCCTATGGAGGACTTGAACTAACTGGATCAGGCCCGCTCACATTAGGGAAGGTAACGTGCTTCACTCAAAGTCTGCTGATTTCATGTTTATCTCATCCACTGAGCCCCCTCACAAAAACATCCAGAACAATGTCGAACAAGTATCTAGTACCATGGCCTACCCAGGTTGACACATAATACAAACCATCACACACCTCCAGGCCAAGCCATGGAGATGAGCGGGGCGGGGCGGGGCTGCGTGGCCTGGTGGGGCACCGGCTGGTCTCGGCCAGCAGGGGACGTTGAAGCCAGCCAGTCCTGCGGGTAGTTACCGCTGGGGTCAGGTGCACACCGAGACTATGTGCTCATTTTCCGACCCGAGGCCAGGAGGAAAAGGCCATTTAGATCCCAACAATGTCGGCTTCCTGTGTTCCCGAGAGGCAGGAAGCCACCCCAGGACAGAGTTCGGGCAGCCCAGGGAGGCGGGAGCTGGCCCCCGGCTGGGATTGGGGGTGCAGTTCTCCACCCCAGCAGGTGACCTATGGAATACGCTTCACTCCCAGGCTCTTTTGCTCCCTCTGGGGCCACAGGCCACACCGCTATGTGGGGGCAGTGTTGCCACCCTGGGAAGATGGGGCCCCTGGGCCCTCCATGGCGCTTTGCGTAGACTAGGTCACTCCCCTGGGGACTTCAGCTCGCAGGGTCACTGGCTTTAAGAGGTGATTGCTGGTGGGTCTGTGATTTCCAGCCTCTTGTGGGGACAAGTCACGGCCAGCTCAGGGCTGATACTGGGATGTGTGCTGGAGAACTCGGGCTCCTGACCGATCTCCAGGAGTAGGATGTGGGGTTTTCATGCCCTTATTCCCCCTCAGATGACAAATAGCACCTTGTGGATGATGCCCTGTCAGCTCCAGGCCAGGGATTTCCTCAGCAGTGTCTGGGGCATATTCAGGATTGGAACCTGGGTTACCCACTTTCTGGGTTAGAGGGGGGCGCGGGAGGTGATGGAGGAAATGGAGAATGGGCTGGGGTCAGGCTCTCAAAGCTGGAAGGTGGCCTGCAGACCATCTGTTCCAGCTGTTGGACATGCCAGGGCATTCAGGGTGAGGCAGACAAGTGAGTGTGAGATGGCAGGTGTGATAGGGACCCCAGTGAGCTGGGGAGACCTGCTTTCCCCAAAGGCATTTCAGCTAGGAAAAGAAGTCTGTGCATTTTAGACGGTGAAGCAGCTGAAGAGTTGAGGGCACAGCTCCTTCTCCCCTGGAGTCTGCTAGCTGACTGCCTCAGTTTCCAAGCAGGAGTCTGAGACCCAGAGACGGGGAGTGACTTGGTCACAGAGCGCGATGACAGCAGAGAGGACTGGAGCCCAGGCTCTCCTGACAAGGAAACGGGAGTTCTGTATAAAAACCACCGTGACAAATGGGGTGAAGATGCTGCTGAAAGCAGCTAACCCTTGCATGGAGCATGCTCTGTGCCAAGCCCAGAGAGACACTCATTTAATGCTCACAACAATCTTGCGAGGTCAATGCTGTTATTACTCCTGTTTTACAGATGAGGAGATGAAGGCTCAGAGTGGGTAAGTAACTTGCTCTAGATCACACAGCTATTGTGTGACCTGCATCTGCACTTTCAGCCAGTCTCCATGCAGCCGGGTGGGTAAGTAGGTAAACAGAGCAGAACTTGCAGGAAGGATCCTTATGCTCCCTTTCCCCGCCTCTCCCGCTCCCCACCTCTGCCCTCCCTTCCTAGGTTGCTCACTGATGGAGTTTGCCCTGAGGTAGCAGGGGGTCAGGACCTGCTCCCAGACTCTCTCCCTGCAGGGGCTAAAGAGTAGGGTCTGGGCCTCCCTGGTGGCGCAGCGGTTGAGCGCTGGGTTGCGAAGCTGCCCGCGGCCTCTGCGGTGCCGGTTCGATCCCCGGCTGCTCCCCGACCACCAGAGGAGGGTCCCACATGGCGCGCAGACCTCTCCTGCCACCTGCTGCTCCCCTCAGCAGTGTACTTCGGTCCTTCTGCCTGCTCTGCTCCCCGCTCTGGCTCTGGTGAACTCTCTCACCCTCCCGTGCTTCTGACTGTACCCAGTGCTTGTATAAACAAACAAACAAACAAACAAATAAATAAATAATACATGCCTCTTAAAAAAAAAAGAAAAAAAAGAAAATGCCACATACTTTAAAAAAAAAAAAAAGAGTAGGGTCTGCTTACCTGCTCTTGTGTCTGTTCCCTGGCCCCCCAACACTGGCTCCCACCCCAGGGGTTTGGCTGTAGACAATCCTTCCAGTTTGAAATTTACCCCATATTTATTGAGCCCCCTCCAGATGGCAGGTCCTGTGCTAGGGGAAGGGGCTGGGTGCAAAGCTGCCAATTTGAACAGATCCCTGCCCCCCACCTTTGCCTTAGCGAAGAGGTTGGATGTGGGGAGAGCAAATCACAAGGGATATCCAAGGTGATAAGTTTTTCCAAGGGGTGTGAGGATCCTGGGGGCACAGAGGAGGAAGGATCCATATTTCCAAGCCTGATAATCCAGGGAAGGACATTTTGAACTGGGCCTTGAAGAATGTATGAGTTCACCACTCTGGCCCAGCTTCTTACAGGCTCAAAGACCCTTCGGGGAGCTGATGGGATAGCAGCAGATCCCTTTGGGGGCAGCAGCTGGAAGTGGAGGCAAGACCAGGTCTTGCAGGAGGCTCCTAAGATGTGCTGAGGAGCTGGCCAGAACCTTCTCAGCAGGGTGTGCTGTGACCAGTCTGCACCTGGGAATAGCACATGACCTGGTGGACAGGAGCGGTTCAGGCTGGTGGGGGAGATTAGGGCCAGGAAGGATAATTGGTCTGAACTGGTGCAGTGAGGGGGAGAGGTGCTAGCAAAGGTTGGCATGGACGGCCTTTTTGGAGTTACTTCCTATGACATGATGACCAGTTGCCTGGCAGGGTAAGGATAGGGATGAAGGGGGTACAGAGAGAGGCATGCAGGGAGCGGGAGGGACCCAGCAGGAGGTCTGTGGTCTTAGCTCCTAGGATTAGCTTTGGCCTTGTGCTTTGTGAGGACCCTGTGCTCTGGACTTTGGTTATCTCTACCTGCATAACCGGCTACCCCCAAACTGAGCACTTTAAAACAAATACAACATTATTATCTCTCCTGGTCTTTGTGGGTCAGAGATTCACAAGTGACTGTGCTGGGATCTGGACTCCGGGGCACTCATGATGTTTTGCAGGGAAGCTGTCAGCTGCGGCTGCTACATCTGCAGCTTGACGGAGGTAGGGGGAGAAGGATCCACTTCCAAGGTGTCCCACTCATGTGCCAGCCAAGTTGGCTCTGGCTGGTGACAAGAGGCCTCAGCTGCTCACCACGTGGCTCCTCCATAGCGCTGAGTGACCTCATGCTGCGGAACTAGTGATCCAAGGGGCGCAAGCTGATGCCACCGGGCCTCAGAAGCCACACACCATCACTTCCATCATATCCCTCCAGGTGCACATGCCAGCCCTAGGTGTGGTGGGATGGTATTACAAGGATAAGCACTCCCAGGAGGTGAGAGGCACAGGGACCCCCCCCCCCCCGCCACCCCCCAATCCCACCCCCCTGTGGTGGCTGGCAGCGATAATTTGCCTTCCTGTAACATTTGAATGTGCCATTGACCCGGGAAGGAGAAGCCAGCAGAGTGGCAGGCCCAAGTTTCATATGACAGCAAGAGGGATGCAAGTGAGTGAGCAGGTAACACTACCCCATGGGAGAAGACCCGAGAAAGGCGACTAAGAAGTTCTAGTGTCCTTCCCTGACGAGAACTCCTAGGGCCTCGTAGGGCCTCCTTACACCTGAAGGTGCAAGACTCCACCAGCAGGGCCTTGGCCCTACCTACAAGGCTTAAACTCTGCCACTTGAGTTCAGTTTGCTGAGCTTTTGTCTTCTGGGTTGGAGGCTGGGGAGGTCTTCCTTTGCTCCCCTCTGTAGAGCTTTCAAGGACAAGCTCTCTGCATTCCTGCACGCAGGGAGCTCTGGACACGGCACAACGTACTGCAATCGCCCAGAGATTTCTCCATCTGCCCTCCAGTCAAGGGCATTTGTTGAGTGTCTGCCCACTGTGTGACAAGCCAAGTTGCCCTGTATGGTCATGCAGGCTGTTCACTGCCAAGGGTGCCCGCCTGAGAGAGAACTGGAATCAGCTCATGCTTTATGCACCAAGCTATGTACCCAGGTGCTGGGCTGCATCCTGGAGGAAGGGCACCTTCCCGCAGAGACACTATGCTAAGCTGTGTGCCCATGAGCTGGTTTGCCCAGAGGGTGGGAGTTTTTTTAGTTAGCACAAAGATTCTGTAATGGACCGTGGGCCTGGAACTGACACTTGTTGTAGCTGCTGGGGCTATGGTGTAATGTGTACAGGCATGCCCTCTGTCCTGGTGAGTCCAGTGTGGAGAGATATGCTATATGTAAACCAGCAGGAATTACCCCAGATGACTTCAGATTGTGAGCTGTGCTAAGGGAATTATGAGGGTGCTGCTGAGAAAAAATAATGGGGGAGCCTGTTCTCATTTGGGTGATTAGGGAAGGCCTCTCCGAGGAGATAGCTTTGAGTGGATTCAGAAATAGAACAATTAGGCTTGGTGAAAAATGAAGAGCTGGGGGTGAAGGTGAGCCATTTAGACAGCTGAAATAGCAAGAGCAAAGGCCCTGAGGTAGGAAAGAGAGCCATGAATTGTGGGAACTGTTAGAAGTATGGAACAGGGTACTGGAGGAAGACAGAATCCTGGCCCCCATTACACTTCTGGTGCCTGGGCTGGGCTGGGAAAACCAGAGTGGGCACTTAGAGATGCCTTTTTGGTTGAATATAAGATTTGGGGCGGGGAGGGTTATGGTTTAGAGTGGGGATGGTTAAATGGGGTGCACATAAACTCGAGGGTAGACCTTTAGTTAGGTTCAAACCAACCAACATTTGTTACTATGTACCAAGCATTTTAGAGAGAGAGAGAGAGAGAGAGACAGAAAGACAGAGAGAGGTTTCCTCCTTTGTGGGATCCTATAGCTATAGGAACTGAGGTCATGTTGGGAAGTGTGCTCCATGGAGATACCTGCAAGGAGGCAGGGGACAGTGAGAGCCTACAGAGGTGGATGGTGGGGCAGGACTTCTTCAAGGGCTGGTGTAGTGGCAGGATGGGCACGGAGCAGGTTTTCTATGATCCGGCTGATGGGTGGAGGAATTCTGGAGCCTCGGTGGCTTTCTCAGGCTTTTACTGAGCTTTTACATATAGTGCAGCAACCAGGCACAGGGCAGGCTGGGCTACATGGTGGGGTAGAGGGGGCAGGAGACTGCAGGCTTCCAAGCTCCTGGCAAGTCTTCACTCTGGGCTTCTCTGGCGTTCTCTCCCTCCTCTCCTGTTATTTCTCCTGCCTCTGCTGCTCCTGGCGAGTATCTCAACACTGCAGTCATGGCCCACAGAAGGAAACACCACAACTAGAACAATGTAACAATATGCAGGTGCCCCATCAGGCAGGGCAATCCCAGTGGCAGGAGGGCAGAAAATCCTGAAAATCATTTGGGATTTCATTAGCAGAGGAAGGATAAGTTAGTCTGGAGCCCCTGGTCTGGAGGGAGTGGCCTGGTAGGGAGTCCTCCTGGTTGGGGGGACCTTTCAGTCTCAGGCCTGAGACTCTCTCAATTATACATGCCTTGGGGGAGAAAAGAAGGTGGGTATGGCTAGGAGCAATGGTCAAGGTCAAATCCCAGACTCCACCCTGCCCTTCCCCCACCCTCACGGACAAACCAGAAGACTGAGTGTGGTGAGGTCCTGGGACTCTCCTAGCCTTCATGTGTGCCTCGGTCTCCTCTTCTGAGTTCTGCTGAGAATGAGGAGGCCTCATGCTGGACAGGGGGAATTCAAGATCCAGGAGATGGGGGAGCTGGCTGTGGCAGTCCAGTATTTGGGGTCAGGTGGCTCTGAGCAGCCAACAAGGCCAAGTCAGTGCAGAAGATGCACTTCCAAGACTCCTCATCCCATAGGGGGAAACTGGGGGAGAGACCACCAAGCCCCTGGGTGGAGTCTGAAGACCAAGGGCCTGCACCTGAGGTCCCTGGGGGTGGGGCCAGCATGGCTGGGACATTCCAGGCTCAGGAACTCCATAGGAAATTTGATTCCAGCTTCTGGTAGTGGGAGGGCCCAGCAAGTAAGTCGTGTGTGTGTGTGTGTGTGTGTGTGTGTGTGTGTGTGTGTGTGTGTGTGTGTGTAATCATGCACATAAAGTTTGTGAGTGTGTATTTGTAGTCGTGTGTGTGTGTTAAATCATGCATATAAAGTTTGTGTATTTGCCTACCTGTGTCCATACATGTCAGGCTGTACTCTGAGGGTCTCTCATGAAATTGTAGGAGTTTGGGTGCCCCCGAGTCAGCAGTTTCTCCTTGGGCGTCATTGTGCATGTGTGTGAGGCTGTGTGTGTGCAGGTATGGCTGCAAGTGGATATGGTGTGTGTGTGTGTGTGTGTGTGTGTCTGTGTGTGTGTGAGTGTGCGCGCGCGCTTGGGTCCTCTCCTGGATCATGAATTGGGTCTGTGTGGCGAGAGTGTGATCGTGGTTCGGGGCGCTGGCTGGCTGCCGGGTGTGTGTGTAAGGGGAGACGGCCCCCCCTCCCCTCCCCTGCGCCCGCCCCTGCTCCTCGGCGCGGCTGGCGTGGGGCCTGGGTCCGGCCACCTCTGCCCCTGGCGGGGATCCAGGGGGGAGGCGGTCCCCTCCCCTCCCCTGCGCCTCCCGCCTCCCCGCGCGCGCCCGGAGGGGCTCCAGCCTCCCGCGTTCCCGCCCGCGGGCCTCGGGGAGCAGCCCCCCCCCTCCCTCGGTCCCTCCTCCTTCCCCCTCCCGAGCACGGATTTCGGGCGGGGTGGGAGGAGATTTCTCCGGAGTTTCCATTTCATACCTCGCGGCTAAACTTTCTTTCTGTGTCTCGCCTCCTTGCAGTCTGCAGCTTCTCCTGTCATCGGAAATGCCAGGCCAAGGTAAGCGGCCGGGGGCGGCTGGCCCCGCGGGGGCCGAGGGCCGGGGCGGGCTTGGGGTCCCCAGACGGACTGGGGGCGCCGGCGGGCGGGGGCGGTGCCCGGGTCACTCCCTCCGCCTCTCTTTGTTTATGCAAAGCTGGGGGCCGGGAGCGGGCGCAGGTCAAGGTGAAGGCGAGGGCGGGGTGGGGCGCGAGGGGATCAGGTGGGGGCGCAGCCAGGCCCGGCGGCGCTGGGGGTGACCTGCGGGGCTGAGCTCCGAGAGGGGGGCCTGGGAAGGCATTTCCCTTAGTTCTCAGGGGGCGCGGTGGGGGCGGGGTTGGACCGTGAGGCCGAGGAGAGGGGTACAGTTCAGTCATCCTCGGAGGCGCGCAGCCCTCTTTAGCGGACTTTGGTCCACCTTGGGGAGCTCGGGATGGGGCCGCAGCCACGGGGTGGCCAGCGGGGAAGGGGCATGGGTTGGACGTGGGGTGAGGTGGAATAGGCGGTGGAGGTCAGGATCAGGCCGTGCCTGGAACTTTTGCGCCACCCTCACACTCCCTATTGGCCAGGTCCCTCTTGGGGCCTCAGTTTCCCCACCAGTGTTTCCTGGCTGGTCTTGGTGGAGAAGCAGACTGAGTTCAGAGGACCACAGGGAGGACTGAGTCCCAGGTGGCCAGGCTGGCTGGTCCCCTGCTGCATTTCACATGCCCGGACAGAGGAGTGATGGGTCAACTGGTAGGGGCTTCTCGGAGTCATGAGGGGGAGGGTGGGTGACACCAGGGTGGGTTATGATGGGTTTTGGGGGAAGGAAATTGTCCTCCGGGATGGGGTCAGCTCTCTGGGGGTGGAAATGCCCTGTCTTGCCTTTCATAGGCAGCCACCCTCTGCACCTTTCCCCATTATTGCTTAAGTCCTCACTCATCCGTCACCCGGACCTTAGCTGTTCGTGCTTGATCTTTCTGGATGGAGTTTAGTGAATGGAAGGAGGAGGGAGGAGACTTTAAAAAGGAGCAGTGAGCAATTGAGGTGGTATCTGGTGCATCTCTGCTCTGTTTATTAGCTGGATGACCTTGGGTAAGTCTTGTGACATCTCTGAGCCTCCATTTCACCTCGGGGGCATGAGCATTGGAAAGTGTTACTATGAGGATGAGATGGGGTCATGTGTGCTGGGCACGCTGCCTGACACATGGTGGTGGCCTAAAAACCCTTGACTATTGCAGGGGTTAGAGGGAGTGACCCCAGCACAATGGAAACCCCGAGTATTTGGGTTTTGAGAGTATTTTGACTCTCCCAAAACTTAACTGCTAATAGTCTGCTGTTGACCAGAAACCTTATGGATAACACCGTTGATTAACACATAGGTTGTGTGTTACATGTAATGGATTCCTACAATAAGGTTAGAGAAAAGCAAATGTTATTAAGAATACCATAAGGAAACTACAATGACAGTATTGTGCTCCATTTAGTGATATAAGTTTATGTAATCTGTTTACAAGAAAATCTGAGTATAACTGGATCCCGACAGTTCAAACTTGTGTTGCTCAAGGGTCAGCTGTAATTGATTGTTATCAATTTGTGGTTCCCTGGGCCAAGTGTTACTTTCTGAGGAGAGGGCCAAGTGCCTGCTGATGGAGCAGGCAGTTTTTTGGGGGGAATCCATTTCCTTCTGGGTGACCTTGCATGAACAAAGTACACAGCCTTGTTGGGGTCATCTCCCTGATTTGAGGTTGGAGCTGTCTCCCAGCAGAGGTGTGAAGGGCCTGCCTTGCAGTAGTCCTAATTATCCATCCGTTCCCTTCCATTGTCTTCTGCTTTTCCTGGCTCCCTCGATCTTTCCTTCTCTAGGTTGGGAGTGAGTTTCTTCTCTCTCCTTGCTCTCTTTACCCAGAACAGAGTTTTAGTTTTAGTTCCAGATTTCTTATACCTCCCTAGTCTATCCCCTTCCTGCACCTGTTACTCTTAATAACAATGAGCATTTGTACAGTGCTTTAGCCCTTAGAAAACCCTTCAATGCTTTATCTGATTTTGTTCTTTTTATTCCATCAGAGCATAAAACAGGCCGAAAGATTCTATTGTTTCACAGATAAGGAAACGAGGCACCGAAAGGTTGAATGATTTGGCCTGGGTTTCCCAGTGTCATTTCCTAGTGTCCTCTGTTCCGGAGCCTTTGTACTTCCCTCTGATTGATCCTTCTTTTCTACCTGCAGGCATTCCTTTATCCTCACCTGCCTGTCCCCTTTCCCTTCCGTGACTTGCAGCATCAGCTATGTTAGAGAGGATGCTGGTAAGGACAATGATGGATCCGGCTAGGGTGACCGGCAGGCCCGGAGAAGCTGAGATGTGTGACAGCAGATGACCCCTTGTTTTACAGCCCTTCCCTGTGTGGAGACAGAGGGATGCCAAAGACGAATTCTAGGGTGAGGTGGGGTCGCATACCCTGCCTGGCAATTTCCGCCTAGGCTGGGGAGCTCAGTGCACACAGGCTGCAGCAATATTCTTGCCTAACCAAGGAGGCCCCCTCTCAAAGGAGAAGGTTGACTGGCAGGGCAGTGGCCAGACAGACAGATTTTTTTTTTTAAAATAGGATTTTCCTCTATAGAAAATGGGACCCACTGGTAGTGTGAACTCCACCCAGCTGGCAGTTTCTCCCCAAAACCACAGCTCTTGCTACCGCCCTGCCTTTTCCTCTTACGTGGAAGGACAGGGAAAGCCCAGAGCACACAGTTGAGCTCTGTGGTCTGGATTTTATAACCCTAACAACTTGGAGGTCCTGTCCTCCATCCCCCTATCTCTAGACAGGATTCATTAAACAAATGTTTACTGGTTCTTCCCATGTGCCAGCCACTGGGAGACATACAATAAATAGGTTAATACTGCTTGAAAGGAGTAAGCTGGAGTAGTGGGTAGTGAATAGTAAGGCCAGAGTAGTGTAGGAACACTTCTCAAAGGAAGTATTTCCTGAGGTGAGACCCGGATGATGTTGCATGATAATCTGAGAGATGGAAAGAACCAGTGAAGTGAGATGAGCTTGTCACCCTTGAAAGAAGGCCACTGACTAGAGAGTAGTAGGTAGGTGAGCTTTTGAGCACTAAGACCTGGTCTGATGTCTACTTTGAGGACACTCTAAACTTTAGCAGGTACTGGGGCAGGAGCAGGGCCAAGAGGCTGCTGATGTTGCCCAGGTGAGAGAGGTGTGACATAGATCATTCTCTGGTAGGGAAGCGGATGAGCAGGGACCAGGTCTGGGATGCGTTCTGGGCTAGAGCCCAGAGCCTGGCTGGTGGATTGGATGTTGGGTGTGAGACAGAGAATGGATTCAAGGATGACTCCCAGGTTTTTGGCCAGAATAACTGGGTGCACGTGGTTCCATTTACAGAGATAAATGAAGTGTGTGAGAAACTAGGGAAGAAGTTTCTAGTGAAGATGGTGCCAGGATTTCTTCTTTGCTTCATCTCTTATTTCACAGTTCTTCTCCCACACATTGGAAATTTCTTGCTGATGTTGATGTCCTCCTGTACTCTCAAATTTAGCCCACTCTGGCCATCTTTCTAGCAAGAAGCTGCTTCTAGATGCCTGAACATGCCACTTCTAGACTTTCTGCAGCATGTACCCAGGGCTGAGAAGGGTTTTATTTATCCACAGCAATATGATGTAACACATTACTGCCAAATTTAGTAGCTTAAAGCAGCAACAGATCTCATATAGTTTCTGTGGGAGTGGCTTAGCCGGCTGGTTCTGACCTATGGTCTCCCATGGGGGCTGTGGGCACCTGAAGGCTGACTGGGTGTAGAGGAGCAGCTTCCAAGGTGGTTCATTTGTGTGGCTATCACGTGGGGGCTGACTGTCAGCAGGAAGTGTCAGTTTCTTTCCACACAGACTGGCTTCTGCAGAGGGCTGCTTGAGTATCTTCACAACATGGCGGCCGGCTTCCTCAGTGAGGGTGGTTCAAGAAAAGAGCCAGTGGAAGCCATAGGGTCTTTCACAGCCTTGTGTTGGAAGGCAAACACTGTTATTTCTACAGTATCCTCTTGGTTAAATGGGTTATCCCCATTCTGTGTGGGAGGGTCTATGTAAAGGCAAGAATTCCAAGAGGCAAGAATATATGGGAGCCATCTTAGATGCTAACTACCACAGATGTCTACAGAGAAGCTTACAGAGCATGCAGAGCTGACTGGTTCCTTGGAGGTCATGGAAATAGTAGGAAGGGCAGAGACAGGAATGAGACATACCTGGGTTTGAACTCTGGGTTGGAGAGAATTAAATGCACGCTGGCATCTGGTAGGCACTTTTCTCTTTTTCCTGGAACCATAGGCACACTGGAAAGGGCCCCAGATATTCTGTGCTCAGTTATTTTCCCCTTGGACCTGCTTGAGAGAAATGTTCAGTGCTGGTAGAGGAAGGGCCTCTGTGCCCATCTCATAGTAGATGTCTAATACATGTTTATTGCACAAAGGAGGGTTGAGAGACCTGGGCTTTCTGCTTCTAGAATAGTAGTTGGCTCACAGTAGGGGTTCCAGTGTAGGGGTAACAGTAGAATAAAGGAATGTTGAGATAAAAGAGGTTCTTATCTAGGGAAGATGGTGGAGGGGGCAGGGGAAGATGAGAGCAGGAATTAAGGATCAGCAAAGTCACCTTTTAATTGCTCTCTAAAAAGGTCTCCTACCTCTTGAAACAGATAATACTCCAAATAATAGTTCTAGTCATTTCCATTCCTAGCTGGGGCAAGAAAATGTATGCCATCAGGCACACCGATTACCCAGGTGGTATATACTCTATTGTGTCAGGATTTAGAACATTTTCAGCACCCTCAGAAGCATCCCTTATACTCTTCTTCAAGTCATTATCTCCTGAAGATAATGACTGTTCTTTCTTGTACCTTCCCAGAATAGTTTTGCTTGTTTTTGAACTTCATATAAATTGAACGGTATAGAATGTTTGCTTTTGCACCTTACTTATTTCACTCAGCATTAGGTCTGGGAGGCTCATCTGTGTTCTTGTGGGTTGCAGTGGTTCATTCTTTTTTATTGCTATGTTATATTCCAGTGTAAGTATCAGCCT